GGTATTTCGAGTGTCCCTTTAAGTATGAAGAATTTAACCACTCTGTTCTGGAATACCATTGGTCATGATGGATAGTCCCGTAAATCTGTCTTTATATACATATTATGTGCTTCATCTGCTGCCATGCATGGGGCACTAATTCAATAAATGCAGTCTCTTGCATTTTATCCCTGAATGCATTTGAGAGAGAAGTTTAGTAGGAAGGTTTTCATAGCACATGTAGGCGTATATACATTTGGTGTTGTATCAAATCTCTGTACGTGCCACTCTGCTTTCTGATTGGCGCGTGTGCTTTTATCCAGCTTGTTGCTCAGAATATAAAGTAGCTCTGTACGAACAATACAATCAATTTAAAACCAGAATAACACAGCTGATCTCGCTGTACACCACCGCAAAGCTCCAAGACTGAATTCCCTGGCAGGTGCATCTTGGCTCATACCTCGAACGCTCTCATTTCTGATGGTTAATTTATATGTAGATTATATATGCCAGTGTAGTACAAAATATAACACAAGTATGATATATAACTGATCAGTATTGGGGTTTATTCACTTAACATCAAATTATAACAATTTGAAAAGAGGCCTACAAACTGCAGACAAAAAAAAAAAAAAACAGATTTGGAAGAAAATCCCCACCTCATCTACAGTAACAATTCAACTATTTAAACCTAAATTTTGCAATTTGGGTTTCAATTTGCTGCTGTTCTGTTTATTGGACAAAACTATTTGTGAATTTGGTTTCAAATGAATCATGATTAGTCTGAACTTTGGCCAATGGGTGATTTGCCCAAAATTCGCAACTTTACAATGCGAAATGGACATATTACAAAACAAATGAAACGGGCGATTGACGAGCTGTTTCGTTTGTTTTGTGATAAAGAGTTCAGATTTTGGTGCCAAAAAAAAGATGATTCATGGGAAAAAAAGATGATGGATTGGAAATAGAAGATTGATGGTTCCGGGACCATCATTACATGTTGAATTCATTCACTGATCAAGTGAGAAGTGACCAATAGAGGGGAAAAATGAGAAGCAGAAAAATACATCAATGTTTAACCCCTTAAGGACACATGACATGTGTGACATGTCATGATTCCCTTTTATTTCAGAAGTTTGGTCCTTAAGGGGTTAAATATTATAAATTTTGCAGTATACTAGCAAGTGCTTTTTTGTACCATTCTGGTTCTTCTGAACTTTTTTACTGAAAGGATCACATGGAACAGACACGCCACACGGACAAAATTCGGTCAATGAAAAAAAACAAAAAACTGATCCAGACAAACGGAATTTACTTGATGTGCACAAAGTCTATTACCTGATAACTTTTCTAAACTATATAAATGGGAGAAGAAGAGGAAAACCAGAACTTGGATTGGTTTAAATGGCTCTTCTCACAAGTCCTGGAATAGGGGTTTCATGGACCAGAGCTGGACCTAAATACAAAATATATTACTAATACAAATTGATTTATGTATTGATCTCCTGCACCGAAACCTTCACCTGCAACTATATATTAAACCATCCCTGCACGTGTTATAAACTGGTAATATCTTCACAAGCCGGCTGAGCCACAGAGAAATTCCCTAGGAAGGATGCTGTCCTATGGGTAATAGGGCACAGGGAATCTCTCCTGTGGGTAATGGGGCACAGGGAATCCATCCTGTGGGTAATGGCACACATGAACTCCATAATATGGGTAATAGAGCACAGGGAATCCATCCTATGGTTGATGGGACACATGAACTCCATAATATGGGTAATATGGCACAGGGAACCAATGGGGCACAGGGAATGCATCCTATGGGGAATGAGGCACAGGGAATCCATCCTATGGGTAATGGCACACATGAACTGCATATTATGGGTAATATGGCACAGGGAATCCATCCTATGGGTAATATGGCACAGGGAACCAATGGGGCACAGGGAATGCATCCTATGGGTAATGGGACACAGGAAATCCATCCTATGGGTAATGGCACACATAAACTCCATATTATGGGTAATAGGGCACAGGGAATCCATCCTATGGGTAATGGGGCACAGGAAATCCGTTCTATGGGTAATGGGACACAGGCACTCCATCATATGGGTAATGGGGCACAGGGAACCAATCCTATGGGTAATGGGACACAGGGGATCCACTATATGGGTAATGGGACACAGGTACTCAATCATATATGTAATAGGGCACAGGGAACAAATCCTTTTGTTATGGGGTATATGGAATCCATCCAATGGGCACTGGGGGAACAGGGAATCCATCCTATAGGTAATGAGATGCAGGGAATCTATCCTATTGTTAATGGGGCACAAGGAATCGATCCTTTAGGTAATGTTGCACAGGTAATCAATCCAATGGTTAACAGGGCACAGGGGATCCATTTTATTGGTTATGGGGCACAGGATATCCGTACTATGGGCAATGGGGCACAGGGGATCTATCCAATGGGTAATGGGACACAGAAAATCCAATGCTTTCCCAATGGGAAATAGGTGATGATGTCAGCCAAGGAGGCAGATCGGAGTTGGAGCTTGTCCCAGTGGACCCACTCAGCGCTGAAAATAAGGTAAGTTTTCTTACCTTTTAAATGGGGCAATGGGGAGTGGCAAGGTGGAGGCAAGCCACCTAAATAGTTGTTTTGACACCAGACGGTTAGGAATACACGTTTGTGTTCCTGACCCTATAGTGTTCATTTAAAACAGCAGGATTATGAAACACAGTCCCTTTAAGGAACAATGTTAATCTATACAATCATAATTGTGATCCTTTTAACCTTTTCCCTGACAACAAACTATGCACACAGGCTGAATTTCATTTCACATCTCCGTGTCTCAGCACAGGAATTACAATTCTTACTCCCCTCTCACTTTCTACAGCAACCTTTATAGGGCAAACGCCATAAATAAATATTACAAATAAATTCAAAATCAAAATTGTGGGAATGTCTCTTATTTTTTGGGTATCCCTTAGCAATCTATACAAGAATTACTGTAAATGTCAGGGATATCCAAAGCATTTTACACAGTAAATAAATTAAGCAGAAAAATAAAAAGGGGAATAATCTGAACTGTCCTTAAAACGTATCCTCATTTAGGGATTTATTGCCTTAGAACTGACCTGAAAACAAATGGCTAGTTTCCACTGAGCGCAATGGTTCAGGTCGGTAAGGTTTAGAAGGGTTAGAATGGTCCAGCCTATTCAGGTGAGTGTTTTCACTACAAGTTGGACCGCCAGGGGTCATGCAGAGTTTAGACCAAATGCCTAGCTTGGCGTCACACTAGTGCGACAACAAACAATGAACAGCAATGGAAGTCATTCAGCAGCTCGTCTTTGCTCTGCTTGGCTTTTGGTTCTTTGTAGTTACAATACATGCCGGACTGTACGAGAGAAGGTTGCGAGCGGCAAAGAGAAACACAGCGAAGAAAACTTCTGGCTTGGGTCTTGAGCCGGGAAGAGAAGTACACCATTGTGTGGCACAGACAAAGTCGGCAGCGCTATAGGGTAATCAACTTTATGCCATGTTATATTTGTCATGTATTTCTACTCATATGTTAACTAACTTAAATATAAAAAAAAAAAAAAATACAGAATATGAAAAAATCTAATGTAAGATGGGAGGGATATACATGGTGTATTTAATAACATACATGTTGCACCTGACATAAATACTCCTTTATTTATGTTGCTCGCTTTTATACATGATCTATCTGTCTGTGTAAAGTGTATTATATTGTATTATATTTGAATTCATAGTGATATGGTGTAGTAAGTTATCTGTACCATCTGTGGTTTGTTCTTTTTTAGATTCTTCTCCTTTTGTTAAAGCAGTGCCGCCGACCAGTCATTTAGGCTCTCTGTCACGCCAATGAGTGGTGGGATGTGACCGTCCCGGGATTCACACACACACAGTGGGTGCACAATTTCCGAATGTAGGAGGAAACATGTTCATACCTTTGTGCAAGGCTACGTCCAGTGATGGAGAAGCAAAGCACCAACTTCAGAGCCAGTTTGCATGTGAGGAAGAGAGTTGCCATTGCACTGTGGAAGCTGGCTACCAACAGTCAATACAGAAGTATCGGTCACCTTTTTGGTGTCAGTAAATCATCAGTGTGCCGGTGTGTGCAGGACTTCAGTAAGGCTGCCTGCACATTGTTAGTTCATGAAATTATTCATTTTCCAGACTGGGAAAAGCTTAAAGTCATGGCTGACTACTTTGAGAACAGGTTGGGCCTTTCACAGTGTGTTGGTGCTATTGATGGGTCACACATACCAATAATAGCACCACAAGAATACCACACTGACTACTTTAACAGAAAAAGGCTGGCATTCCATCATCCTCCAGGGCAGTGGCGTACACATGACCCACGGGGCCCCGGTGCAAAAATTGATCCGTGGGCCCCCCCGCGCGCTTACTCGGCGCGGGTCGGGATCGCAACACATGGTGGCGGGCACCTGGTCGCAGGGGTTGCAGGGCTGCGACCCCGCGACCGCGGTATGCACACACACTTAAAGGACCACTACAGACACCCAGATCACATCAGCTCAATGAAGTGGTCTGGGTGCCAGGTCCCTCTAGTTTTAACCCTGCAGCTGAAAACATAGCCGTTTCAGAGAAACGGCTATGTTTCACTGAGGGTTAATCCAGCCTCTGGTGGCTGTCTCATTGACAGCTGCTAGAGGAGCTTCCGCGATTCTCACTGTGAAAATCACAGTGAGAAGACACTGAACGTCCATAGGAAAGCATTGAGTAATGCTTTCCTATGGGCGGTTTAAATGCGCGCGCGCTGCTTCTTGCCGCGCATGTGCATTCGGAGCTGAGTGGCGGACACTGGGGAGTCCGACGCTGGAGAAAGGTAAATGCTGAAGACACACACACACACTCTCACGAACAGACGCATACACACTAGCTAACAGACACACACATTTACTGACAGAGACACACTCAGCGACAGACATACATACACACTCACTTACAAAACATACACTTTCACTGACAAACACACACTCACTAACAGACATCAAACACACTCAGTAACAGACACACACAGTAACACACTCACTAGCAGACACACACCCAATAACAGACACATTCACTGACACACACACTAACACACACACACACACACTAACACACACATACACTAACACGCACACACTAACACACATACACTCACACACTCTAACACACACATACACTAACACACACTAACACACACACACTAACACACACACACACCAACATACACTAACACACACATACACTAACACACACTAACATACACTAACACACACACACTAACACACACATACACTAACACACACACACACACACACTAACATACACTAACACACACATACACTAACACACACTAACACACACACACTAACATACACTAACATACACACACACACACTAACACACACACACACTAACACACACTAACATACACACATACACTAACATACACACATACACTAACACAGACACACACTAACACACACTAACATGCACACATACACTAACACACACACACACTAACATACACTAACACACACATTTTTTTTTTTTTAAATGTAATCCCCCCAGTCTCCTTACCTTTTGGAGTGCTGGGGGGATTCCCTGGGGTCCAGTGGTGCTGCTGGACTCCTGGGCGGGTGGCCGATCGGGCAGGCGGGCGCGCGAGGGAGCACTCAGTGCTTCCTCTTCAGCTCCCTCGCTCGCCGCGTAGGGATGCCGGAGCCGGAAGATGACGTCATCTTCCGGCTCCGGTATCAGTGCGGTGCGCGAGGGAGCTGAAGAGGAAGTACTGAGTGCTCCCTCGCGCGCCCGCCTGCCCGACCGGCCACCCACCAGCTGGGGTCAGCAGGGCCAGCCTCTGGGGGGGCCTGAGGTGGCCGCCTCCAGGGGAAGAGGCTGGCCCTGTGGGTACACACAGGGTCGCAGGGGTGGCCGGGCCCCCTGGTGGGCCGGGCCCGGTCGCAGCCGCGACCCCTGCGACCCTGGTATGTACGCCACTGCTCCAGGGAGTAGTGAATGGAACATGACTATTCTGGAGTGTGAATGTTGGAAAGCCTGGGAGTTTGCATGATGCTCGGGTTCTGCGATTGTCCACATTTTGGGACTTGGTTGGGCAGGGAGTCCTGTACTCTGTTTGCACTAAGCACATTGGGGGGTGGGGGGGTGAATGTTGGCTATTATGTTCTGGGGAACTCTGCCTACCCTTTACAGAACTGGATCCTGAAACTATTTCCTGACAATGGCCACCTGACATCAGAACAACAAACCTACAACAAGAAAACATCCAGGGCACGGGTCGTAGTTGAAAATGCATTTGGGAGACTTAAGAGTAGGTGGCAGTGCCTTATGAAGAGGAATGACAGTGACATTGAACTTGTCAAATCCATAGGGCTTACTTGCTGTGCACTTCACAGTCTTTGTGAAAGTCATGGAGAAGACTTCCACCATTACTGGGATATGTCTGCAGAAGAGCCAGTACAGGTAATAGCACGGGATAGCGAAGAAGAGTGCAGTGAAGTATGTTGGCTCTGATGCGGCACCTCAACATTTAATTTTATACCATGATTTTTTTTTAAGTTTTACATTTAATCAGGCACACCCGCAGTCTCTCCAGATTTGTATTCCCCCAAAAATAATATTTCAAAATAAAATTACAAATAATTTTTTTTTACAAAAAACAAACTAACAATAAAGTGTACAGGTCCTGTATTGGCTCAAAGGCACTACTGCTTGGGCGGTGGCATGGGATCATGACTGCCTCCCAGCACTTGAACAAGCTGCCCAAGGACACCAAGGAAGCCCTGGTTGAAGGTAGCCAACTGATCCATCTGCTGCCGAGTGATTTATGCCTCCTGTCACCTTGCTTACTGGGCATCCTGACCCAGTGCCTGAAACCACAACTCAGAAAGGTTCTCCATTCTTTCCTGCTGCCTTTCATCTGCTGCCCACATCTCCTCCATGATTGTGCACACATCCAGCTGCAACCGTCTCCTATCACCTGGAATATACAAAAGACCATAATAGTGTTTTTTTTTTAGCAATGGTACAAAAACTAGGTAGAGATATATTAGCTAACATAATGTAAATAAAGAACAGATATAACACATAAGAACCATGTAAACACAAATTAAAATAAATTCAATAAACACAATATATTCAAGAGAAGCTCAAAACACAGTGAAGAAAATTAAATAGCAGTATATAAAGACAATGTACAATTATGATTATGGATTTGATCATGCAAACATAAACTACACAGTTTAATGTGAATTAAAAGTTAGGAAAATGCACAATTACAACTTTCACTCTAATCGTCATGTCTTCCCAGTGAGTGGATGGCAGGGTGCATTGGGCGTAATCTGTGGTTGGGTCGGTGTTGATGCCATCGTACTGGCGCTACTGAACGACGTGGATGGACCATCGTCGGAAAAGGTTGAGGCATCATTGGAGAGTCCCTCAACTGTATCTGAAAATACCCAGATCATGAGCTTGATACACAAACAACGAGAACAATACACAATGTTAACGGTTTACTATCTTCAGTGGCAGTTAGCATCAGGTAGTAAACAATGGGATGCTGAGCTTGTAACAATGAGATGCTAACTACCCTACCCTTTCCTTTCATTCCACTTTACAAATAAATGTGTTGTGTCTCATTCCACTGTACAAATAAAATGTGTTTTTGTGCAAAGAGTGAATGGTTTTGTGCAGAGATTTTTATAAATGGTTAGCAGAGCTAAAGCCAATGCCAAGTGGAAAAAATACTTACCAACGTGCTCCATAATGGATTCGAGAAATGCAGAGGCCGAGTCCAGACCTCCCTCCCTGCCTTGGTTTGCCGGCCTGTGGCCATAAATGCCGTAAATGGCGTCCAAGGCGTTGTACCACCTCCAAGTACTTTGACTGTTTCCACTATGGCTGTTGGTGTCCTTAATTTTTTTTTATATTGGCCTTTTAGCTTTTTAAGCTTTGCCCTACACTGGACCGACATCTGCTCAAATCCCTCGGCTGAGAAATATCTTTATCTGTGTGTTGTGTGCAGCATCCTTCTATTATCAGGACTGAACGGCAACGTGGTGTTTGTTTCGCGCTTGCCTTTGACGTGAGCAGTGAAGTTTTTCTGTCCGCCAATCAATAGAATGCATCGTGTGACGCCAGTATCTCCACCCTAACCATACCATATCATTTCCTATGGACCTACAACTGAAGGGAGCCTAGGAATAGTGCGGCTTGGTTCGGTTGTATGGGACACTTTTATAATGGAAACACTCAAAATAGCGTACCAGACCGTACCGACCCGAACGGTGCAGATCAGTGGAAACGAGGCAAAAATGACAACATTTATGCAAAAAAAAAAATCTGATTTAAAATAAAATCTGGAAATATTCAGCTATAGTCACCATTTGGCTAGCTTTGCATTCATGTTACAATTCCGCTTTTATTTAATTTCAATTGTGTGTTAAATAAATAAACCTTGTGGTGTTAGAAAGGCTCTAAAAAATGCTACTATAGGAAATACGAAATCTGTCCTCAGCAGACGGTCTTAAGGGAGCCGATTTATGATAGTGGGGATGGTCATTGGTCATTAAGGCTCATACATTATAAGGGAGTATAAACATAACTTATATTATGAGATATTTCTCATCAACCAATATTAAAAAACACCTCTTTGAGAGGCACAATATTTAACATCTGTTGCTCACCGTTTCTTGTAAGGAATGATTTTAGCAGGTAAGAATAAAGCAGACTGTATTAAATTATTCAGCACACCTTGATGCTGTATGGATCCACAAAACATCAGAAGATCTGTCATCAATACGTCTTTTACAGAAAAGCGAGATTGTGTTGGCATTCTGTTGTGTTTATTGCACCAGTTTGCATGCAGTCAATTTAGATTTGTATTCCGATTTTGAATAATTTCCACTTAATTAGCCAGGGATTTAATTACCTACTGTTATTCGGGATATCAGCACAGTCAACGATACAGCCTGACTCTCAGCGTCTATACACAACGAGAGACGGCTCTTAACGGAGAGCTAGTAATGGCTTTTTTTAGATTTTGAAGCATCTCACTCCCACCAGCTTTCAGATAAACATGTACGTTACATAGTTACAGTCTCAAAAGAGACATGTGTCCATCAAGTTTAGCCTTTCTCACATTTAGTTTTGCTGTTGATCCAAAAGAAGGCAAAAACAAATCCAGACTGAAGCACTTCCAATTTTGCAACACACTAGGAATAAATTCCTTCTTGACCCGAGAATGGCAGTCAGATCTCTCCTTGGATCAAGAAGATGTTACCCCACAATTAAAAAATAATATTAATGTAATTTACAGCAACACACACACACGTACTGGCAAGAATACCGACACATATTAACATGCGTACGTCTGTCCAGCAGGGGCCGGTGGGATATCTAATTCACCCCCCTCCCCCCAGCAGTATTGTGAACGGGGCTGTATACTTTGAATGGCAATCATGTAGCCCAGACTCTTTCACATAACTGGTTGGGGAACTTGGACAGCTTGAGCTCCTGTAAGATGTACACACATTACAAATAATTGTACCTGCAGAGGAGGAAGTACAGCATGGCTGACATAGGGGGCAGACTTTGCTGCAGCAATTTTTGCAGTTGTGAGCACATGTGAGCAATGAGACAAACAGGGTTATTCACTAGAGGGAGAATTCAAATTCCAAACTGGGAAAATTCACCAAATCAACTGTGCTTCAAGTTGGGCTAATTTGGCCTTCAATTTGAAATTGATTTAACTTGGAATGACCGAAAATTCTCCCTTTAGTGAATAACCCTGAACGACGGGACCTTCTCATAGTGGCTCTAAATAATGTTCTTTTTCTGTCCCTTTAATTTCTCCTATAAAATGATGAGATTTCGACGTATTGTTCAAACAGAGGGCACGAGATGTCCTTTATTACTGAATAGCATAATGTTTTGGTCTCAGGGATCTTCATAGAGTTTAACAGAAAGCAATGCATTCCAAATTAAGAAAATCATTTTCATAAGGAAACCTTGTGACCTCTTGTCAGACGATTATAAAAGTCCGTAGAAACCTCTATTTATTCATTTTATGGCAGCAAAGTAAGACCATTTGCAGCATTGCTATTAAATGTTTAGCATTAATAATAATCTGAAGTCCTTTTGCTTTTAAGGTGCAGTTAAGATAATTTTTT